AAAAATTTAGATGTACTTTGTAAGGTCGCTGACCTATAGCAGGCCAAAATCAGGCCATGGTTTTAGAGAAGTCAGGTTCTAGGGAATCGTTCAATCTGATGCACCAATGAAGTGTTAGACAAAGCCACACATCTTTGAGATGCTTTCTTAGGCAACACAAATATTGAATGAGAAATCGCGTTGACCAAAGGTCAGATATAAATGTCAGACCAAGGTCAAAATCGATCTGTTTTATTACGTAAGCGCTTGCTGTTTGGGATAGTTTCTGGTACTGATTTATAATTTATTAATAGCAGGAATCGCATGATACATCTTCCGTGGATTTCTTAGTGGTCGGAATAGGTTATTGACCTAAAATGACCTAGGTCAGCATTTTTGTTTTTAGAAACATACTGCCTAGCGTAACCTTTTTCTCTTATTCAAATGCAACACTTAGAGCAGTCCTGTATGATTGTGGTCACCATGACCCCCAAAAGATCAAACAAGGTCGCTGACCTTAGCTGAATATGTGACCTTTTGCTTAGAAAGTTATCTAGGTTCTGGGGGCACTTAAGAGACCAACCTGGAATTTGACCTCATTGGGCCCAAAATTCACGACCTAGGAACCTTAAACCTTGACATAAGTGAGTTCACGTACAGGTCAGCACACCCTGTGAATTAAGTGGCTCTAGTTCTTTTAGTTCCCGAGACCTCAGCGGGGTCAAATTAACCCCCCCCCCCCGAGCAAAGGTTATCTAGCGATCCCCCCGGGCGCGTATTAAACCAACGTAAAAATATCCGGGGATATTTTTTTGTGGGGATTGCCACAAACGGAGCTTTTGTCAACCATGTGTTTCTATTAGCAATGCTCTGCCCCCCCCCCCCCCCCCGCCTACACACAAGACCAGATCAAGACATCTACGTTGAATGGCGGGCAATTAAATGTCCGCTGGGTCAATTCAAACCTAAAGTAGACAGCTTCCCGGCGGCGTTTTCGGTGTGGTGTTAGGGAAGCTAATTGGGAAAAAGGTACTGTTGCAGATGTCTAACGCATGTTTTACATCCCAATTCGTAGCAATGCTGATACAGAAATGTGCAACAGAACAGCCATCCATCGGTTCGCGGTCAGTCATTCGGAGACAGCCGGACCAGGACAGTGGTCACCGACGGCGGACGGGAGCAGGGCTCAGACAAGGAATGTACGACAGAAGGGCCTTCATTCTGTGGCTTGATTTTCAAGGGAGAATCTCCAGTTCTATGACTTTTGTCACGTGGCTTTTGGCAGTTTCAAGCTTCCGACTTTGTTTCCACCTAAAATGCCGCGACAAGTCTTATCTCTTGAAAAACAGCCAGCGAAATAGAGGCGCACGTAAAATCTGTACTGTGAACCATTGATTCACTTTCAAAATTTTCGCCACCCTGTGCTCAAGTCATATTTTGGCATCTACCCTGTGGAGACAGGTGCCTCCTCAATAACCCAAAATGTCTAACCGCTCGTGGAATTTCGGCTCCCCAGGAAAGGCAACGTTGAAATGGACTTGGGAAGCTGGATAGCCTTATTACCTGAATGACATAGATGAGCCGGATAGGCAAGAGTGAGCACCAGTGAGAAACAGCTCTAGATGCATATCTAGAATAGCATTCATTGCATTTGAATAAGGAGCGATAACCTGCATCTCTAACCCCCCCCCCCCCCCTCCCGGTTATCGGGCTTGTTTTCCAGAAAAGTTCCTGAATGCCCTGAGCTTGCCTCCCCCACACACTTTTTGAAACGTTCCTACGCCTATGGTCAAAATTACCAGTTTTCTATTAAAAGCGTTTTGGTTTAACCATGATCTAAGCTTCATGTATTACCGACGGCCAGCAGTTAGTGGCAATCCAACTTTCGGTTGCATAGTTGTCTTAGAGACCATACCAAAGTTGTATGACTTCGTCAGTTGTTATGACAGCCAGTTGTCGAATCGCAAGTTGGACACAGTTACGCCACACCGCCGGGAAGTTATTCTGAGACACTTTTCAGGTCGAATTACCCCCTCCCCCACCGTGCGCATGTTTACAATCTCACGATGCGTTTTGTTAACAACTCGCATCCTTCCGACCAAATGACGTGCCCCTCCCCCTCCCCCCCCCCCCCCCCCGCTCCACTCCGGCCTTCGCTGCCCCTCCCCCTCCCCGTCCAGAGCGCGTTCGTGGCGCTCACGGCGTGCTCCGTCCTCAGTCGTGTCGTCGGAACAAGCGGAGCCGGGAGCTGGCGGGGCTGGACGCGGGCGCGGCGCGCGCTAGTCGGCCCACGCCGCCGCACTTGACCTCGGTACAGGCCGAGCAGATACTGGCGCAGGCCTGCGAGAACGAGAGCCAGAACGCCAAGAGGATGCGGCTCGGCCTGGAGCCCATCAGCCAGCCGCTGATCCAGCCGGCCAGCAGTCCGCAGGTGAGCACGGCCGGAGGACCGCCGGCTCATGACCAGCAGATGAAGCCGTCTGCTGATCAGCATTCAGCCGGTGAATACGGCTGAGGTACAGCCAGTTAGCAGGCCACTGATGGTGGCAGTTGAGATGTCTTAGGAGTTGGCGAATGAGTCAGTTGAGGTACAGCCGGTTAGCACGCCACTGATGGTGGCAGTACAGGTGTCTTAGGAGTTGGTGAATGAGTCAGCTGAGGTACAGCTGGTCAGCAGGCCGCCGATGATAGGCGTGATGCAACCGGTGGGCATTCCATAGGTGGTGACAGTTTGATAGGCATTGGTCCAGCCAGTGAACAGCTCGCAGGCATGACAGCTGTGCTCCAGTCAGTCAGCAGCTCGCAGGCCGGGACAGCTGTGCTCCAGTCAGTCAGCAGCTCACAGGCGGGGACAGCTGTGCTCCAGTCAGTCAGCAGCTCGCAGGCCGGGACAGCTGTGCTCCAGTCAGTCAGCAGCTCACAGGCGGGGACAGCTGTGCTTCAGTCAGTCAGCAGCTCGCAGGCCGGGACAGCTGTGCTCCAGTCAGTCAGCAGCTCGGAGGCCGGGACAGCTGTGCTCCAGTCAGTCAGCAGCTCGCAGGCCGGGGCAGCTGTGCTCCAGTCAGTCAGCAGCTTGCAGGCCGGGACAGCTGTGCTCCAGTCAGTCAGCAGCTCGCAGGCGGGGACAGCTGTGCTCCAGTCAGTCAGCAGCTCGCAGGCCGGTACAGCTGTGCTCCAGTCAGTCAGCAGCTCGCAGGCGGGGACAGCTGTGCTCCAGTCAGTCAGCAGCTCGCAGGCGGGACAGCTGGGCTCCAGTCAGTCAGCAGCTCGCAGGCCGGGTCAGCTACTCCTCAGTCGATCAGCAGCTGGCAGGCGAATGGCGAGTACAACTGGGGCACAACCGGTCACATGAGCCGACAGGTGACGGCAGTTGCCTGTGATGCAACGGTCTCTCAGGTGGAAACCGGGGCACCGGCTGACGTTGTCCAGACCAGTCGCCGCCGGCTGCCATGCTGCAACCCGGCAGGGTGAGCCCCACCACAGGCGTCGTCTAGGGTGGCCAGACTCTTGAACTGGGCCCGCGCACACCCAAGCAACGGTGACAAACGGGCACAGGCTGACACCGCAGCAGGTCATTTGCCAGCGCGGCGACTCATTCGGGGCGTGTGACTTGCTGCCGTCGGGTATTGACCTGGTGTCAACAGGGGGGGGGGGGGGGGGCGGGACGGTGGAGCCCGAGCCAGCCAGCGTGTTGTGCTCGGCGAGGCCCGCCCTGACGCTCTGGTCGATCAGCCCCCAATTACACACATTGACCCGTTCCGGGCGATAGAGGTCAACAGGGTAACGGATCCCCGCCTGGCCGCACTGGCTGATGGCAGCGCGTGATGGCTCGAGGGGTGCACGGATGCCGGGCACCCCTCGATGTGAAGGGCTTTGCAGGAGTGAGCGTCGGTTCGCGCAGATAAGTCGGCTGATAATGTGCGGTGACTCATTTCCGTTTGCCGTTTTCGGCCGGCACCTCGTATCCTTCGACGCGAGCTTCACGGCGTCCGGAGGACGCGGCGCCCCCTCCTCACTACCCCAGCTTCGCACCCTCCGCCGTATCCACCACCAGACCGCTGGGTCACCACCCAGCCGCCCTGTCGACAGTCGCCTCACCGTCAGCTGTCAGCTCTCACCACCGCTCTAACCGCTGCTCTCACCGCCGCTCCCCCTCCGCTCCCACCGCTACTCTCACCGCTGCTCCCACCGCCGCTCCCCCCTACGCTCCCACCGCTGCTCTCACCGCCGCTCTCACCGCCGCCCCCCCCCCCCCGCTGCTCTCGCCGCCGCTCCCACCGCTGCTCTCACCGCCGCTCCCCCCCCCTCCGCTCCCACCGCTGCTCTCACCGCCGCTCCCACCGCCGCCCCCCCCCCCCGCTGCTCTCGCCGCCGCTGCCACCACCGCTCCCACCGCCGCTCCCACCGCCGCTGCCACCGCCGCTCCTCCCTCCGCTCTCACCGCCGCTCTCACCGCCGCTCCCGCCGCCGCTCCCACCACCGCTCCCACCACCGCTCTCACCGCCGCTCCCCCCTCCGCTCTCACCTCCGCTCTAACCGCTGCTGACCCCACCGCGTGTCGCCAGCTGACGACGACGGCCTCGAGCGAGCGCAGCACGTACGAGGTGGCCAGCCGGCTCGCGCCGGCGGGTGAGCGGGCGGCGCGCTCCGACGGTAGCCTGCACGCGCTGGTGCCCGACCGGCCGGTGGCCACCTCGGCCGAACAGCTGCCCGTCGCCAGCGCCCTCTACCCGCCCAACTTCACACAGGCGTTCGGCCAGATGTTCGCCGGCATGCTGCCCGCGCCTGGCTTCCAGCTGCCGCCGAACGGGAAAGGTCAGTGGACGAGGCTGTGCTCACGAGGTGGTGGGCTCAGCGGCGTGGGCGGTGTTGAAGTTAGCCGTTTGGACGCGCGCCGCTCCAGCCGCTGTGTGAAGCTCTCATCAGCGGAGTTTGGGGGTGGGGGGGGGGGGGGGGTGAGTGGCATGATACTGGGAGCGTTGGACGGGGTTCTGATGTTCCTGTCGTTGCGATCACGTGGTGCCGGCGAGATGTGCCCGTGGTGGTGGCGCCTGTATTGTTGCAAGGGATGGGTCTTGGATATAGTCCCTGTCTTTTACGTCCCCTGGCCATGATTTACAATGCAATTTACTTCACCCATGTTGCCTTTGGAACCGCCTTCTGCACCGCTCCGCGAACCATTAAACCTGGCTGCCCTGCTTTGGTGCAGTTTTCGGGTGTCCGTAATCTTCTATAAAGCCTTCTGTTTTGACGCGCAAATTTGTTGGCCCTTTTCAGGCGCGTGACTAAGTTTGCCGGCATAACCATATCCTTATCACTGTCATATGTCACGTGATATCACGTGATAACGTGGACAGAGCTCGGGCAGGCGACCTTCAAAATGAGCCGGTAGTTTATCCTAATGAGCCGGGTGAGAGCCGCCACCCAAGTCGAAGCGCGCTTTTCGTGACCCCGGCGAAGTGTCGGCACACAGGACTCGGGGGGGGGGGGGGGGGGGACGTTGATGGCAGTTCCCACATCTTGCTTGTTTGGTTGTTTGAATAAGCGCCCTTTCGACCCGAGATGACCATTTCAGGACCATGGGATGAAGGAAAATGGTTAACGGCGGGGCAGGCCCGCATGCGTCTGGGGCGTCAACCCGCGTATGTGCGCTGGACACCGGGTCGGGGCTCCCTTCCCATGAGGCTCTACCCGCTCGTGGCTGACGCACGCAGCGTGCGCGGGACAAGTGGGGTGTTGAAAAGATGCAGGGTGAAGCATGATACGGGATGAGAGGGTGGGATGACACAACTTGGCCGTATTTTTTTATTATTTTTGGAGGCGTTTCTGCCCGTTGGGGCCATTCCAATCCTGGAATGGATCGTTCCAAATGTGCATTATGGATCGTTCCAAATGTGCGTGATAATTATGTGCATTATATGAAAAGAGAAAAAATGACACGTTCGTGATTGACTTACACTGCGTTAAGCAGGCCGATGAGTCCGAGGAAATTGAAAAGCAAGTCAAGCAATTAAGGGTGGTCATCGCCAAGAACGGTTTAAGAAAAAGAAAATTCAACATTATGCCGACGACAATATATGCCCGGCTTGCATTGCACTCAGACGAGGCTTAGTGCAACTCACCGCGCCGTTTGATGACGCCCCGCGCGTGACCTGCCCCCCCCCCCCCCCCTCCCCCTGGGCGGGGTCTGAAGTGCCGCCGTCGTTTCCAGTCAGTGATCTGTTCGCCAAGAAGCCGCCGCCCCGGCCGCAGCTCAGCGCGGCCGAGGTGGCCGCCGTCCGCCAGATGATCAACGGCTACCGGGAGTCGGCCAATTTCCTGCGCCGCTCGGCGGACGAGCTGGAACTGCTCATTCAGCAGTCTGGCCACTAGGCGGCGGCACGGCCGCTTTGCCTCGGGTCGACGAGCTTGAAACAATTGCGCTCAGGTCATCTCTCGCGGCTGGCGAGCAGCCGCGACAGGTGGAGGCGGCGTTCACGGCTGATCGGTCTCAACCCGACCTGGGAGACGTTCGAGGCGAGATGTGAAGCGCTTCGCAGCGCTTGGCGCGAAGCCCGCCGGTGCTCGCGGCGTGGGCAGTGTGCCCACTGCCAGCGAGATGTGTTCGTGATCTCGCCATTCAGTGTGGAGCGGGCACTGGCTGTCCGGAGAGGCGCGGCCGGTATCTGACCAATCAGAGTGAGCCGCGGCGCCCGGGCAGCCAATCCCAAACCGTCACGATATATCATTCGGCACCGTCCCCACCTTGTCGGATCAGTGTTTGTGTTGCTTTCTAGACGTGCGCGTAGCTATAGGTGTTGGCTGGTCCGGCCAGCCGTTATTTTGAAATTGCGGGCGGTCCGCAAGTCCCGAACAGCACGGCCATTCGTCTCGACAGGTTGCAGTCTTCCCATGACAAACGCAGGTCAGTTCGGCTATATAGTCCGTGTGCTACAGTACAGCAGGCGCCTCGCCGGGGCGTGGCGGCGGCAGCGTTTCCTTGGTGTCGTGTTCTCACCGCCGCGGTACCTGGGCGCCCCGGAACGGCCGGCGCGAGGACCATGGGGGCCCGACCGCCCCTGCCTGCGCCGAGTTGGTGTGATGTACCTCCGTGCTGGGCGCACCAGCGCGCCAGCGCCGGTCTAGTCCAAGCATTGGTCGGTGTGAGTCAGTTACCTCCGTGTTATCATTTTCCTGCGGCAAAGAAATACAAGTATTTTCGTGCTGACAGGTTTATTTTATTGGCAGTGGCTTCCGCGCTGAGCCCAACTGAAACTCGTCTCTGGTATCACTCAGCGCCAGCTTCCCCAGTTACAACATATACAGTTCCATATCCATAACCATGAAGAGTTCCTCCAGTGCGGTTATCACACCACCTGTTCAGTCCCAGTCCGGTCCAGCCACCCGGCATACCACGGTATATTGGGCCGATGTTGCCACAGCGATAATTGCATTGATAGATGTGCTCTAGGGCTCATTAAGACTACAACCGCCCGGCAATTGCTAAAATGGGAGCATTCAAAAACAAATGTCTCAGGATTACACAATCCCTCAGTTGACGGGATTACTGAACACATTTGAGCGCATCGCGGAGAGATGATGTACGCGCATACCATCTCGGTTACGTGCGTCGTGTCGCTCGCTCCGGCAGGGAGGCTCCGGCACGTCGCCGCAGCTCTCCGCCAGCAAATCGACTGTAAATCACACGTGCCCAGCATGCTACGGACCTGGCGGTAGGTCAGAAGCCGACCTCTCGCGGGTGCCAGGGCGACCCCCACCCCGCGTCCGGCGGACCTTCGCCCCCCCCCCCCCCCCGTACTGCACACCCAGCTGGACCTGACGGGCAGCGAGCACCTGCGACATCATCCACCTTCACAGCCGATCATGCGGCAGGCAGGTGGGCGTGGCACCCGTCGCCAATCTCCAACACAGCCGAATCTGCACGGCAAGCGGATGACCGGAGGCGCCCGTGGCCGGCGCCCTGCCGGGCCCCGCCCACCGGCTCGGGGCCCCCTGGGCTGAGCGCGAACGTGGCTGCCGAACGTGCGCTGCAGCACTGGGCTGTGCTGGAAGGTGCGTGCAGAGAGGTTCCAATGTGGAGAATATGGCGACAAAACATGTTTTGGCAAACGCCTAAATGGTTGTGTGGGGAGTAATCTACATAGCCACAATCAACTCAACAACTCGGAACAATGATAATCACTTCTCATCCTGTGCAGTTCTGGATTGTAATCTGTCCAGCAACGAAATAGCTAACAGCTACAACCATGCTACTAAAATATGCCGTGATTTTCATCACATTGTCCATGGAGTCAGGCCGTATAGAACCATGGAACGATGGACGCGTTGGGCACCTTTCATCCGCCATAAACATCACTGATCAATAAACACAACTATCACTGACTGACAAACTAATGTATACTGTGTCCCTGTTATCTGATCGCCGTTTGAAAACCGCACCGACAATGTACCAGCGTGGAATGCAAAAAGCAGAATATCGGACCGTCTTCTCCAGTCACGTACCTCTACCAAAAGCAGGGCACAAAACCTCCCGGCCGATTGCTTGCCCCATCAATCACCATACCAGCCCAGGCATGCACCACCGTAGACGCGTAACGTAACGCCTGCCGGGCCCTCAGGCGACCCTCAACACCACGGCACCGCCGAGCGCGCTCACAGACCCCGCGACGCGCGCCGCCCGCCCATGGATCGACCCGAGTGGCCACGGCGTCTGCGGTCGGAGCTGCCCGGCCAGACACCCGCACCGCTCCGGAGCCGGGCACGAGGCCCGCTCTCCACAGGGTCACAGGCGCGGCTGTGGCCCGGTCCCGACACCCGCACCGCTCCGGAGCCGGGCACGAGGCCCGATCTCCACAGGGTCACAGGCGCGACTGCGGCCCGGTCCCGACACCCGCACCGCTCCGGAGCCGGGCACGAGGCCCGCTCTCCACGGGGTCACAGGCGCGGCTGCGGCCCGGCCCGACACCCGCACCGCTCCGGAGCCGGACGCAAGGCCCGCTCTCTACGGGGCCACAGGCGCGGCTGCGGCCCGGTCCCGACACCCGCACCGCTCCGGAGCCGGGCACGAGGCCCGCTCTCCACGGGGTCACAGGCGCGGCTGCGGCCCGGCCCGACACCCGCACCGCTCGCGCGTCGGAGCCGGACGCGAGGCCCGCTCTCCACGGGGCCACAGGCACGGCTGCGGTACCCGGGGACAGAACCCTGAGCACATCAGAGGTTGGACTTGGAAAGCATCAGCTGCTGCATGGCGTTCAGGCTCGCCTCCACCCAGCCGTAGAACTTGTTGACGTCGCACTCCTGGCTGCTGACGAAGCCGGCGATGTTGATGTTGAGCCTGCCGAAGAGCGGAGCGCCACGTGAGACCATCCCGACACCAGCGCGGCCACGGAGCGCAGTAGGGGGCTGGACGGCACCGCCGCCAGCCGGGCTCCGTCGTGGCACGCCCGCTTGCGCCGATGGCTCGCCAGACCGACATCGACCCAGCTTCCAGGGCGCATCATGACGGGCGATGGGTGGGTCTGTCGCGCCCGCCTGGTGACATTTCAAGTGCTCGCGGCTGACATACGTCAGCTTTTGCCACGCGGCGATGAAGTGCTCTTTTCAAGCAAGCGTTCAAAGGGCACATCTAATTTCCCAAATTCAGCATGGCTGGAAGTAACATCACGGTGCTGGATGAGATCAGTCAGATTGGTGCCAGTCAGCTGGATAATCACGAATTTCCCCAACGCAAGTGAATGTGGGTAGAACGAGGAATTTAGCAGACGTCATGGCATACTGCCTCCGTTCACCAGGCATTCAGCAAGACTTGACAAACATAAGCCGTCAAAACGAACACTCCTCATGCGAGCCTCAACTGCGCAACGCCTGCTGAGCAAGTGCGAGCGGCTCCCCGTCGACCGCCTAGCTGTCACCCGGGTACCGCGTCGGGTACCGAGCAAGCTGCCGGGGTACCGCGCGGTGCCCCGGCAGTCGAGCACCGGCCGCCGAGGCGCAGGGTACCGGCGCGACGCCCGAGCCCTCTCCTGGTGCGCACGGCGGCGCCGATCCGACGGCGAGCACCCACCGGTCCGGCTCGATCGAGTAGAAGCAGCCGTAGCCGTCGCGCACCATGGCCGCCGTCACGCCGAAGCAGGGCGTGTAGCCGGTGGTGCTGGTGGACAGCACGAAGTTGCCGCTGCCGCCGCTGAAGGGCGGCCGGCACCGGTGAGGGCCGGGACCGGCGCCCCAGGGACCGAGAAGGACAGCGATCTGACCCGTGTCGGCCCTCCCACACGTTAACATGCACACCTTTACACACAACCGGATGGCGGATATCCTCGATACGTACCGATACTTTTCAGGTTACTTGGTTTCGCCTTTTTCCAAGAACTATTTTGCAGTGAAGACTCCCGTGTTCATGGACATCAAGAAACAGTGCGTACATTGTTAATAAACTTAGCGCTCGTATTGTATGTCGACTCCCATGTAGCCACCACACAGCGCAATGATCATAAGATCAACAGCCCCACCCCTCCCACCGAGCACACTCCACCTCGTCCGTCGCCGCCTGACGGCTCGTCGCGCTCCCAGACTCGCCGGGGGGAGCCCACCTGCGCTTCCACATGGGGTCGGTGAAGATCTCCGGTGTGGGCAGACCGGCCTCAGCCGCCTGGATCTGCAGGCCCAGCAGGTGACGGTCGCAGCCGTGACCTTCGGCCGCCTGGCGCGCCAGGTCCGCGTGACGGTCCACCGCCGCCCGCAGCAGCCGGCGACGGTCGTCCGCCTGAGGGGAGAGGTCAGTAGTCAGAGACAGGTCCACCGCCACCCGCAGCAGCCGGCGACGGTCGTCCGCCTGAGGGGAGAGGTCAGTAGTCAGAGACAGGTCCACCGCCACCCGCAGCAGCCGGCGACGGTCGTCCGCCTGAGGGGAGAGGTCAGTAGTCAGAGACAGGTCCACCGCCACCCGCAGCAGCCGGCGACGGTCGTCCGCCTGAGGGGAGAGGTCAGTAGTCAGAGACAGGTCCACCGCCGCCCGCAGCAGCCGGCGACGGTCGTCCGCCTGAGGGGAGAGGTCAGTAGTCAGAGACAGGTCCACCGCCGCCCGCAGCAGCCGGCGACGGTCGTCCGCCTGAGGGGAGAGGTCAGTAGTCAGAGACAGGTCCACCGCCACCCGCAGCAGCCGGCGACGGTCGTCCGCCTGAGGGGAGAGGTCAGTAGTCAGAGACAGGTCCACCGCCACCCGCAGCAGCCGGCGACGGTCGTCCGCCTGAGGGGAGAGGTCAGTAGTCAGAGACAGGTCCACCGCCGCCCGCAGCAGCCGGCGACGGTCGTCCGCCTGAGGGGAGAGGTCAGTAGTCAGAGACAGGTCCACCGCCCACCCGCAGCAGCCGGCGACGGTCGTCCGCCTGAGGGGAGAGGTCAGTAGTCAGAGACAGGTCCACCGCCCCCGCAGCAGCCGGCGACGGTCGTCCGCCTGAGGGGAGAGGTCAGTAGTCAGAGACAGGTCCACCGCCACCCGCAGCAGCCGGCGACGGTCGTCCGCCTGAGGGGAGAGGTCAGTAGTCAGAGACAGGTCCACCGCCGCCCGCAGCAGCCGGCGACGGTCGTCCGCCTGAGGGGAGAGGTCAGTAGTCAGAGACAGGTCCACCGCCCCGCAGCAGCCGGCGACGGTCGTCCGCCTGAGGGGAGAGGTCAGTAGTCAGAGACAGGTCCACCGCCACCCGCAGCAGCCGGCGACGGTCGTCCGCCTGAGGGGAGAGGTCAGTAGTCAGAGACAGGTCCACCGCCACCCGCAGCAGCCGGCGACGGTCGTCCGCCTGAGGGGAGAGGTCAGTAGTCAGAGACAGGTCCACCGCCACCCGCAGCAGCCGGCGACGGTCGTCCGCCTGGGGAGAGGTCAGTAGTCAGAGACAGGTCCACCGCCACCCGCAGCAGCCGGCGACGGTCGTCCGCCTGAGGGGAGAGGTCAGTAGTCAGAGACAGGTCCACCGCCACCCGCAGCAGCCGGCGACGGTCGTCCGCCTGAGGGGAGAGGTCAGTAGTCAGAGACAGGTCCACCGCCGCCCGCAGCAGCCGGCGACGGTCGTCCGCCTGAGGGGAGAGGTCAGTAGTCAGAGACAGGTCCACCGCCACCCGCAGCAGCCGGCGACGGTCGTCCGCCCGAGGAGGAGTCAGAGGGGTCAGGGAGTCCAGAAGGGTCAGAGGCCGCCTGCGGGAGCCGCCGGCCGCCGACCATCGCCAAAGAGAACGGTTGGATGGCTGGAGTGCTACCCAATGCTGGAAGGCGGTAGTCAAAGGGCAGTGGTGGTTACAGTTCGCAGCAGAATACAACTAGAAATGGGTCCACGTGCAACATCCAGGGAACCTTAAAACCGAGGCCTGATGAGCGTGCAACTCATGATCCTGATATACTCAACATCAACAGAGTAAACGCTTCTAATGGGCCGCAAAACTCCACTCAAAGACATAAAACGCACACGGATGGCTGAAAGCAGTACGGGAAGGCGATCGAGATACTATGCCTCTGCAATCTCCCGCTCTGCGCAAGGCCCAGGCGGGCGGGGTGCCACCCAACCATGTCTCACCAGGGCCGAGTCGGAGGTCATGGCCTGGCACCAGGCCAGCGCCTGGGGCGTGCACGAGCGCACCGTCTCCGTGCGCGCCTTGTAGAAGCGGCGCGTGGTGGCCGTCTCGTACGTGGGCGCCGCCCTGGTGGAGGGAGTGAGCCGTTGCAAGCGATCGGGACGCCGAGCTGGTGAGTGGCACCCCGGTGGGAGACGTCAAGCGGAGAGGCACAACGGAACGTCACAAAGGAGGAGAGGAGAGAGGACACTGCGAGAACAGACCAACAAACCGAGGCGATGGACCTGGTCCTGCCGCTCCTCTGACCACCGGTGATAACCTCCCTCCAAGTTCCTCGGAGCTCGCCGTTACCTCCTCCAACCTGTTCCGAAATGAAGTGATTTTCGGATGAGGTTGGAGGCTGTGGTGGACTTGAGCGGCGCAGATCGTTCAGGTGCCTTTTTGCTCCCATTTTTATCACGCGACAGAAACAAGGAACTGGCGTGTTGGTTAGCTGGAATAGGTTATATTCTAAGTACCTCTTATAGCTTCATATTAATATTCACAGTTGCACATATTCAAGACTTTGCATGTAACTTGTTTTCAGTTACCCTTCCCTTTCCATTTGTTTGCCGTCTTCTGTGCAAAGTGACGCCCCATAAAACAGCCCGGCCAGCTCGCAGCCATCCCTTGACCCCACGGCGACCCCGGCCTGCCACCGACCGTCCGTGGCGCTGGTAGTAGGCCAGCTCGCAGTCATCCCTTGACCCCACCGTGACCCGCGCCTGCTACCGACCGTCCGTGGTGCTGGTAGTAGGCCAGCTGGAGCGCCATCTGCACGAAGGCGTCCGGGTGGAAGCCCTGCGACTGGATCCACAGCTTGCCGTAACAGGCGTAGCGCCGGCTGATGATGGTTACGTCACGCAGCTGCCGGTGGGGGCCAGGTCAGGTTCGGTCAGGTCAGGTCAGTTCACATGGGGAGGAGACACGACTGGATCCACAGCTTGCCGTAACAGGCGTAGCGCCAGCTGATGGTGGCAACGTCACGCAGCTGCCGGCAGAGGCCAGGCCAGGCCAGGCCAGGCCAGGCCAGGCCAGGTCAGGTCAGGTCAGGTCAGGTCAGGTCAGGTCAGGTCAGGTCCGGCCCGGCCAGTTCACATGGGGAGGAGACACGGATCAGGTGTGGCGGGGACCGATGATGACGTCATGCAACTGCCGGCTGGACAGAGGTCAGGTCAGGTCACACGGGCAAGATACACGAGACAGGTGCAGCGGCCACTGATGATCGTGACATTATGCAGCTACTAGTAGGGCAGAGGTCGGGCGCGGTCAGGTCAGATGGGAGGAGACACGGAGCAGGTCCAGCGGTGACTGATGATCGTGACATTATGCAGCTACTGGCAGGGCGGAGGCCGGGCCAGGTCAGGCCAGATGGGAGGAGACACGGAGCAGGTGCAGCGGTGACTGATGATGAAGTCGCGCAGCTAGCGGTGGGGCGAACATCGACTCAGTCCCAAAGGCACATGAACTCAGGAGGGCGAAGGGCAAGTACGTGACGGGGCGATGGGACATCGGGTTGGGGATATGGGGACATGGGATATAACATAGGGAGGGGTGGCATTCCGCCCCGCACTCACCAAATGCACAGGGAAGAGTTCATCGACCAGATGAGTGGGCAGTTAGCGACCATGAATGACACCAGACGATAAAGCAAAGGGCGCAGCACTGCTGGCCGAGAGACGCAAGCGAACTCAAGCGGATGACGGATGGCAAACGGTTGTCAGTATTTCAACGGGAGAAATCGCGGGCTGGGAACCAGGTCAAAAAGTGGGGAGCCAGAGAAAAAACTGATCGACAAGAGGTGAGCGTCACCTGCCATGGGAAGACACTAATACAACATATACCAGATAGCCATGGATTCAGCTCGAGGACCTTTTCAACTAATAAACCACGCAAAAAAACCAACAACAAAGTCCGGCAGAGCACCCGCATGGAGGAGCTGTCAGTGCTGGACAAGCCGGCATGGTCCGAATGCATTTTGTCATACACCGCCTTTCTTCTCTCATCATTCTACCCTATGCCACAAACTAAGCTCAACGTATGAAACACACACAACGCCGCCCGAGAGTGCTCCCCCAACACAGCTGTACCCCGCACGTACCAGCGGCAGGGTGACCTCGCGGGCCGCCTGCACGTCGCGGCGCACGCGCTCGTCCACGGTGAAGACGAGCTCGCGCGGTCGGCAGAGGTAATCGCGCGGCGGCCGCACCAGCCGACCGTGTCGGTTGAAATCCAGCTCCTGCAGGTGGCTGAACCAGCCCTGCGTCACCAGCGTCATGGCGTCCATGGGCGAGTGCTGCCGGCAGGGGTGGGCCCGTGATGGCGCGAGGACGGTCGGGGTCGTCAGAGGGGCGTGTGCCGCACCAGCTGGAGCGGCCGGCGCTGTCAGGAGGGCGCGTGCCGCACCGGCTGGAGCAGCCGGCGGCTGTCAGGAGGGCGTGTGCCGCACCGGCTGGAGCAGCCGGCGGCTGTCAGGAGGGCGTGTGCCGCACCGGCTGGAGCAGCCGGCGGCTGTCAGGAGGGCGTGAGTCACACCGGCTGGAGCGGCCGGCGGCTGTCAGGCCTGGTGAGCGATTCCAGCGGCAGCGGAGAACGGAGGCAAGGTCAGACATCGGAAACGCCAGGCACTAAGTACTAGGCACGAGTCTCCCTAGCCAAACACACCAATCAGTTAATAGTGCCATATTTCATCCTCGAACGCCGCAAGCGTCGGCGATACAGATGCTGTTATCCGCAAGCTGCTCTATGAAGGCTGTTATCTGTTATCTAGCGCAGGAAACTGGTGGTAAGTGAGCCCTTGACTTGCATATGGTTTGCAGCTGGGACGAGCCGCAGCAGACCGGCCTCACTTCGCGGCTCAACCATCCTACATTGGACGCACAAAAAGCTACTGCATGCCACCAGCCGCCGCTACCGCCGCCGCCAGCCTGCCAGCATTCGCGCCGCGCCAGCGCCCCACTCACGTCGCAGTAGTTACCGCCGTAGCCGTCCGTGTAGGCCACAGCCGTCATGCTCTTGTCGGCCCAGCGGCTGGCGCCGTCGCCGCACAGGTTGAGACGCAGGCAGTTGTCGCGGTCGACGCCTGGCTGCGTCTCGAGCACGGCGTGGCAGACGGCCGACTCGACCACCTCCAGCGCGGCCGCGTTCGTTGCGCTCAGCTCGCGCAGGTACGTCCGGTTCTGGAGAGGCGGCGGCGCGTCGGGACCTTGTGCGGTGCAGCTTTGCGTCGCGCCGAGCAATAACGTGCCGATCTGCCTCCCTCTGGTACGCGCCAAGCCGGCAGGCCCGCCTACCCACCCGCCCATCCCGGTGTATCCACCCTGGCTCACCGTCAGCCAGCGTGACAGCAGACCAGGCGAGGTATGATGATGATTTGGGCTTTGGGGCGCACCGACAACAATGGTCACATGGCACTCATCAGGCGAGGTACGCGCGTCATCGAACACTGTCACACCATATCACCGGTGCTACCTTGTCCGCGGACCTTTCCTGCCCGACCGACCCAACACCCAGCCCCCGGTCCTTTTCTCTCAGCCAGACCGAGTGACACCGGCCCCACTCAGAGCCGGACACAGCGCCCCCCCCCCCCCCTTCCTCACTGGCCCACCGCCGCCTCCGGCCGACCCACCTCTGCCCAGCGCGGCCGCTCATCTGCGGTGAGCGACGCCAGGCCGGGCCCGGCGACGTGCCTGCACCGCTCCCACACCCGCTCCAGCACCAGCTGGTACTCCTCGATCGTCAGCGGCTGCTCCGTATCCGGCTCCAGCAGCGCGCTCGAGTACAGATGGCCGTTGCACAGGATCACGAAGTGGGTGGGCGTGCAGCCCTCCGACTCTGCGGCGAGAGGCGGGACTGTCGCGGACTGAACGCTCGAGCTCGCGGGCGCCGGGCGGCACGCGAGAACCGCTGTGGACTGCACCACTTCGTCGGCGAAGATGGGATCAGCCCGGCAGTGGCCTTCATGACTGATACTTTACGGAGTTGATTTAGAGGAAACGAAGCTTCACACAGCATCGGCTGGGTGGACATGCAACACCCCTTGCCTTCCACGTGCCATACAGTGCAGGTCTGGTGACCGCCAAAGTACAGCTGGTGTCGTATCACGAGCGGAACCGCATGCCACATCCGGCTAAGCCGTCCTCCATCTCCACAAGCGTCACATGATCCACAACTGTCGGCGTGTGTTCACTTGGGCAGGGAGACCCCCGTCGCACGCCGCCCCTTCCACCCCGACCGCTCAGCGCCCCACGACGCGGCTGTCAGACCGCCGGCAGCCAGGTCAGCCGGGCCCGGGCGCGCTGCCCACACTCATCGGCCTGGCGGTCCTGCCCGCGGCTGTGGCCCAGCCCCTGACCCGCCGCCGCCGCCGCCGCCGCCGCCGCTGACCGGTCTGGAACATGGCGCGCACGGTGTCCTTGTGCCGGCCGGGCAGTCGGGTGGTGCTCAGCAGGCGGCGCCACTGGTGCATGCTCAGCGGCACGCCGTCGCGCGTCCGCTGCGGCGCCAGGCGCTCCCGGCGCAGCAGACACCAGAACGACGCCACACCGTACAGGTAGTGGGCCAGGTACTGCGCGCAGGAGGTGCCGGTCGTCAGTCACGGCGGCGGTGCGGCCATCCGGTGAAGGGGAGCCGACACTGGACGAAGCAAAGGAATGGACGACAAGTGGCAAATCGGAAGGCGATGACTAGGGGAAGATTGGAAACGTTTCATGTGCAATGGAAAGCGAACAACGACGCCATCCGACAATGTATCAGTACGGCAGTACTATGATGCTATTAGTAAAGAACATAAAACACCTTGCACTTACCATTCACACCCTCACCAAATGCTCGCCTCCCGTGCCATCGTCAGCCCATAACGAGCAGCCTCACGCCCAAATTCACCACTCCCCCATAGAGGCATTCGCTCCCCGCTGCACCACTCCCCCGACGTGTCGGCCGGGCGTACCTTGCACTGTGTGCCGGGCCCAGGCGGCCACAGGCTGTCGGTCAGCGTGAACGGACCAGCGAACGCCAGCGACGGCGTGATGGGCTCGCGTTGGTACAGGTACGCATAGTCGTTCCACCAGTGGAGCATCTGTGGCCGCGCACGAGCGGGTAGGTCACCAGCTGCGCCCAGCACTGTACCCCAACGGGCCACGTCGACTGGGATACGAGAGGCGCAAGCTCGTCACAAACTACAGCCGGTGCGCGCAGTGGCCTGGTTACCGCCCCTACCCAACCCATTGTACGTACGGGTCTGGGAAAACTCGAGTGTACGAGTGCGCGCCGACCGTACTCAAATGAACAAACTGTCAATCCCTGACACATTACTAAAATGTTACACAGTAGCCAAACCCAATTGTCAGGTACGTTTCAGTCCACAGAAGGCACAGCGTCACTTGCTCCTCACCTCGTGAACCTTATTGCACACCGATGCACGCGCTTGCTAGTAGAGCATGGCACAGCCTCCCAGCGAAGACAAGGCCACAGGGTCAGTGCACAACCAACGCACCGACGGATGCCTGACGCGCCGCACCCACCCAGTTGCGCGTGTGTTTGTTCCTCTCCAGCAGGCCATCGTGGAGCCGGCGGCCGACGCCGCGCTCGAACTCCTCCACGATGCGCCGCGTGTTCTCATACTCGCGGCTGCTGGCCACCGGGTACACCGACTCCAGGTACCTGGCAGCACGCGGCTCGAGGTCCGCTCGTGGCACACGCAGACAGCGACAGTGAACGGTGACAACAGAGACGTCGTGCATGAGACGGCATGCGTACTCTGCGTGTGAAGATTGGGGCTTGAGAAACGTAGCTGGTTTCGTCGTCCGACTCGGGACCCACGGTGCATGGAACTCAACCGAGCCTTTTGCATCGACTGAACAGTCCAGGATGGCTGCATTTATCCACCGCTGGCTGGGCCATAGGGCGAACGAGCTTTGTTGGCCCAAGGTTGTTACCCACAGAAACATTGTTAGAAACAACAACCGGGTCACTGCAAGGGGATCGCAAGGGCGTAGCTCTCGACAAGCCACTAACGTGGAAGTAGGAACATGATCAATGCAGTGCTTGGAGCCCTCTTTTAGGGGGCACAGCATATGCCACCAAACCCGCAACTGACAGCCACATTACCATATTGATTCTTACATCCACACCACTAGCACCAGACGCATCGCAGGGAACAGATGTGGAGGTACCAGAGGTAAAGGGCAACGCTTGCCACCAGCGCCGACGCGGGACCGCGCACGCCCACTCACTTTTGCAGCGTCTGCTTTAGCGGCGGGATCGGCAGGCTGGGTAGCTGGTCATCGTACTGGAACGTGCGCTCGTTCTCCGCGACGTACGTTTTCTCAGCGAGCCGCGGAGGCGACTTCATCTGGGTGCCGGAGCCGCCGTACCAGGTCTGTGGGCAGGCCATCGCTGTAACGGGAGCTGATCTGACCTCAGGTCACGGGTCATCGGCCATCGAGGAGCCGTGCCAGGTCTGCGGGCGGGCCGCCGCTGTCATGGGAGCCACCCTCTGACCACAGATCAGAAGTCAATGGCCACCGAGGAACCACACCAAGTCTGCGGGCGGGCGGCCGCCGTGGCGAGAGCTGATCTCTGACCTCAGGTCACGGATCAGCCTGGTCCGCGGGCGGACCGCCGCCGTCGCGGGAGCTGACCTCTGACCTCAAATCATGGGTCAGTGGCCACCAAGGGACCGCACCAGTCGGGGAGCGCGACAGCCTCCGCCAGGTGATGACGAGGGGCGTGCGCCTATGCGAGCCCACGAACAGCGACGGAGACTTGGGTATGTGAACACGAGACTGGCCAGAGGGCGGAGTCACGCGTTCAGCCAGAACTCCAGGGTCGCAGCCAGGGCGCACCGAGCAAGCTGCCAGCCGTGAAGCCTGAAGACCCACAAAACTCGGGGAATGTAAGGATTGGTGGACAACGGGGGAGAGGTCTAAACTCAGTAAGGGCAAGTTGATGAGTTTACTGAGTGACGTCATGCACTCTGACGTCACTAAAGGAAAACAAAAGGCCTATGGATCGAGCGTTTGACGAAGCCCGCTCCCATTTACACAACACCGCTAACGTCGACTCATAGACCTTTGGCAGGCTACACCGTACCGGGTTCCCACACCGGTCCAGCCGACAACACCCGCGTCCAGCAGGCACCGAGCCAGAAGCCCACCGGCTGAAGCACAGCCCCGGACGCCGCGCCATGCGTCCATGCCAACGGGCGGCAAACGGCCCCAGTCAACACCCAAGCCAAGAAGGGACGCAGCAGTCACGCACCCCCACAGAGTACCGTACCATGTCAGCTGTGGCGGGACGGTGCAATCGGAGCAGAACCCCAGTCAGGTCACACTCAGGCCCCTAACGGGCGGCCACTTGGACGGTACCAGCGATTCAGCATGACCCATCCCCGACCTGACCTGACCATGGCACGGGGGTCACCGCAACCGCTCCCGCGAGGGCCGTCGCTCGAGTGGACCGCCGACGAGCCCTGATCTATCTGAGCTATCGCGCGGGCGCGGCGAGCGGCTGTCACTGACGTCCGATACCGGAGATTGGTCAGCGGAGGCGGCGTCCTCTCAACGGTCCGCTGATGAGGCAGGTCAGTGCTCGCTGTCACCCGCGGCCTGCTGCCGAGGCGTCACCAAGCGCTGTCACCAGCGGCCTGCTCCCGAGGCGTCACCAATCGCTGTCGCCAGCGGCCAACTCCCGAGGCGTCATCAATCGCTGTCACCCGCGGCCTGCTCCCGAGGTGCCATCATTCGCTGTCACCCGCGGCCTGCTCCCGAGGCGTCACCAATCGCTGTCGCCAGCGGCCAACTCCCGAGGCGTCACCAATCGCTGTCACCCGCGGCCTGCTCCCGAGGCGTCACCAATCGCTGTCAACCGCGGCCTGCTCCCGAGGCGTCACAAATCGCTGTCGCCAGCGGCCAACTCCCGAGGCGTCACCAATCGACCGAACACCAGCCGATCTCACCCGGCCCGCGGCCATCGGCTCCAGTGGCGGTGTTCGGGACCGGGGGTCGATGCGGGCATCGACAGGCAATACGACGAAATGACTGCACAAATAGTCGAACCTGGCGGTCGTGCCGCGAAGGCAAGTCGGCAGATTTGCCCCTCAGCTACCTTTCCCATCTGCGCTTGGGTGTCGTCAACGGAGCTGGGTTATCGTATCACAAATCCAGTCGATCATTGGTGTCAACGTCTTTTCAAGCAAGACCAAGTTCGCTAAATGTTTCAGATGTTCTCGAGGCAAGCGTCCGTGCCTCTCATCAGAACGCTCACTGAAGTCGGGCAGCGTGGCTTTGACCGTCGGCGTTAAGTTGCTTATTTTTTACATCGGCATATTCAAAGATTGGGCTGGAATGAACGAGGACAGGTACTTTACGACTTAGGCGAAAGTGCACAAATAATCGCCCATCACATGGCACACCAGCTACCTGGTTACGCAACCATAATTTTTCTCAAAAAGCCAAATGTTGCGTTGCGTTCAAACTCTTGCCAAGTTGGACAGTGTCTACGAAACTACTCAGTATGTATGCCTCTTGACTCAGGGGTACGGGGATGATTCCCTTATCCCATCCTCCTCGCTACGTCCCTAATATGAAGCAACGAGCCGTAATTTCCGACACCTGATAAAACCATCAGCAGCGCAATTAGCACCTCTGGCTGGACCCGGCGGTTCCAATATGGGGCGTTATCTGTTTGATAAGGATCCACAAAAAATAACGAGATAGCTACGATTGATTTTAGATTTGCGCACGTGGGTAACATGCCATACAACCCACAACCAAGTGGCATGGTGTTCACCTAGTACATTAATTACACCTGATAGGATGGTTTTGATGCGTAGTTAGTAATTAGTGCCGCCCGCTACCCTACGCGTCACCACGGCTACACAGAATACTACCACAAATATCCGCAACTACCCCACGGCACATCGCCTTCTAATGAAGGGCATCCAGCAAGCAAAAGTTTCACATCACGTGTTTCCACCAGCCGCCGTTCACAAACGGCGGCCCCGGGCAGAGCCCCCAAAACCGGCCGCTATTACCCCGGCGGCCAGTTTTCGGGGGCACCCGACAGCAAGAGTTACACCACTCACGGCTCAAGGCGGGTCACCTACCCACTATATCGTGACCCGCAGCATGCTGCCATCCCGCTGACCGCGCGGAAGTCCCCGCATTTGGAAGCGCGGTGCAGCTCGCAAGCGCCGAGCGGCTCATAACGACCAAGGTGGCATCGAGCAACTGTATGACCCCAGCCATCTGCGCGAGCTGCCCGAACGGACGGAAAGCGGCCGCCTCACGTCAGCCAAGCCGCCGGAGAGGGCGCGCCCCCACTACAACATGCAGGCGCGGCACCCCTGCGCCCCTTACGCCAGAAGCCGGCCGGACGGCTGACCGGGGACGAGCGGGTCAGGAGGGCGCGCCGCTGCACCGACGGACGCGGGGTCATGCGGGCCCGGCGATCCCCCCACAGCGAAGCAACCAACGTGAGGTATTTTGAAGCGTTCGGCACCAAATCGCGGTTTATCTTGCACGGTGGCGTGACCCCACAAGCAGGTTAGTACGCGTCCAGGTGGCGCCAGGCGACGGCAGCTGGCTGGTCTTTTACCGAGGAAAACGTGACGTCATTAAATCCAGAGGCGTGACGCCTGAGCACCAGTCTATGATGGCACGGCGGAAGCCAAGCGCGAGCTAATAGTACGCTCAGACCCGCGTGTGACATGGCCTGCAATCGGGGATCGGGTAATCACTGAGGGCAATCAAATAGGGGGCTAGAACATCTGCAAGCCTCAGAAGACGGTTCTATGGTAATGCAACAGGGATCCTGCAATTAAGACCATGACATACCTGCAACACACATATTCGTGATTGTCACAGGCTAACTTACCACCACATAATGACCGATGTAACACATCATATCCTTGCTTGAAGGGAATGTTTCACATTTGGAGATACTGAAATAAGCACCAGATATGATGAAACAAGTTCACATATAACTATTTGTAAACTTAGTAGAAAATACTGCTCTAGATGATGCAATATCTATGTTGAGCAAATATGCTGCCTGATATGTCATTACTCCAGTATGTCATCATACCTTGCACAACATCAGCTTATTGATAGCATTATGCCAGGAAACTGTGCTCATGAATGCCACATGTTCATGACCCAAACATAATATTTTTCTTGGCCTTAATTGTTGCATTGGTTTATGGAATGACAGGATACAAATAGCTATTACGATGTCATGATGCCAAGGTGACCTGAAGTACTCAACCCAAAAATGTCTCCCCCATCTTTGCATGTGTATGACTAAAAACTAGAGGGGGTTTTAGGTCTCAAAGAAGGGGTGGGCTATGAGCTCCACCCAATGACCTTTCAGAATGGATTGTTTGGTTCAAAACCCCATAGAAACTGGGAACACTCCCTTTAACAAATACACACATGTAACAACTTAACAAGCCAAAATGAGCTGGCTTTACAGGTCATGCTCCCCACTTGTATTGGGTTTTGAAATAAACTGGTCTTTGATGGTCATTTAGTGGAGTTCACAACCCTGCCCTCCTTCCACAGGTAAACCCTTTAACTTCTGGGCTGCACATCCTGAGATGTGCATGCTATTTCATAAAAACTATTTCAAGGACATTTCAGGAATACTGATGTCATAGCATTACCATTAACATCCTGTCCACCCCAAAGACCACACAGTATTCAAAGTGAGGAAGAATATTATCTATGCTCAGATCTGGTTACATAAGCACAACTTCAAAACTTACTGGACATCACTAGCACCGCCCTTAAACATGTTGAGCAGCTGGGCCAGCTTTCAACCACAAAGCATGTTTTGTGCTACATAATGTAAGAAGTTGGACATGTTTTCTTCACCTGCTGGTTAGTTACAGAAGTAAGACTTGTAATAGAGCAAGTAAGAATAATGTGATGAAATAAATAAATAATCAAGACTTGTGATGGAATAACCCTATAACTGATCAGGTGAATACATCTTATGCTTCTTACTCATTGATAAATATGTGAGAACACAACAAGAAAGTGCTAAAACACAAGCACATGAGATCTGGGGTCACCAACCACTTCCAGCAATGCATGCCATCCCTTGACCAGTTTCAAAGTAATACCAGAGAGAATTTTGCATGACTAGTTTGGCAGCACCTTGTTGCATATTATTTACTAGGGAGAAATTATGTTGTCTTGAGCAGCTTTTTCTGCTTAAAAATCAGCCAGGGTGTACTTTCCTACCTGACGTTGGAAAAAATCATTGAACACCCATTTGTCGTGTTTAAGGCAGGACATATGTAAATAATCCAAAACAGGTAGATTCATGCTCTAACCTCAATTTTCTTATAATTACGATGGCGAGCTCCCCGAGCGC